TATAGTACATTTCCTGATTTGTGAATATTGAACCATCCTTGCATCCCTGGGATGAATCCCACTTGGTTATGGTGTATGATCTTTTGAAAATATACTTGGATTCGATTTTCAAATATATACTTGAGAATTTTAGCATCTGTGTTCATCAATGATATTGGCCTGAAGTTCCCTTTCTTTGTTGTGTCTCTATCTGGTTTTGGAATTAGGATGATGCTGGCTTCATAAAAAGAATTTGGGAGTTTTCCATCCTTCTGGATTTTTTGGAATAGTCTGTGGAGAATAGGGGTTAGCTCTTCTTAAATGCTTTATAGAATTCTCCTCAAACCGTCTGATCTAGGGCTTTTGTGTGATGGGATTTTTTTGATTACTGCCTCAATTTCTTTTGCTGTTATTGGTGTGTTCAGATTTTTTGTTCCTTTTTTTTGAGTTTTGGAAGATTATATTTTTCTAGAAATGTGTCCATTTCCCCTTGGTTTTCAAATTTCTTGGCATACATTTCTTCATAGTAATTTCTTACAATCCCTTCTGTTTCTGTGGTATCAGTTGCAATATCTCCTCTTTCATTTCTGATTGTGTTTACTTGAGTTATCTCTCTTCTTTTCTTGATGAGCCTACTTAAAGGCTTGTCTATTTTGTTTATCTTTTTAAAGACCAACTCCTGGATTTTTTGATCCTTAGGGTTGTGCTTTTTGTCTCTATGTCATTTAGTTCTGCTCTAATCTTGGTTATTTCCTTCCTTCTGCTTACTCTGGGCTGTCTTTGTTGTTGTTCCTTGAGTTCTTGCAGGCATAGGGTTAGGTTGTTTGTTTGAAATGTTTCTATCTTCTTTAGGTATACCTGTATTGCTATAAACTTTCCTCTCAGGACTGCCCTCACTATTTCCCATAAGTTTTGGGTTGTTGTGAGTTCATTTTCTATTTTTTTCCAGAATCCTTTTGACTTCTTCCCTAATTTAATTTTTCACACATTTGTTGTTTAATAGCATACCATTCAGTCTCCATGATTTTCGGTGCTTTGGGTTTTTTCCTTTGGGGTTGGTTTCCCATTTCAGTCCCTTGTGCTCAGAGAAAATGCTTGGTATGATTTCAATTTTCTTGAATTTGTTGAGGCTTGTTTTGTGTCCTATCATGTGGTTTATTTTTGAAAATGTTCCATGTGCATTTGAAAAGAATGTGTATTTTGCTATTTTGGGATGAAGGGCTCTGTATATATCAGTAAAGTCCATTTCATCAAGGGTGTTGTTTAATGCCACAATATCTTTGTTGATATTTTGTTTGGAAGATCTGTCCATTTTTGATAGTGGGGTGTTAAAATCCCCTACTATAATTGTGTTGCTGTTAATATCTTTCTTGAAGTCCTCTAAGAGTTTCTTGGTATATTTGGGTGCCCCTATGTTTGGTGCACATATATTTACGATGTTAATGTCTTCTTGGTGGATTCTTTTCTTGAGTATAATGAAGTGACCTTCTGGGTCTCTCTTTATGGACCTCTTTTTGAAGTCTATTTTGTGTGGTATGAGAATTGCTGCCCCAGCTTTTTTTTCTTGTCCATTTGCTAGGTAAATTTGTTTCCAGCCTTTCACTTTTAGTCTGTGCAGGTCTTGTCTCCTGAGGTGGGTCTCCTGTAGGCAGCATATGTGACGGTCATGGTTTCTTATCCATTCATCTATTCTGTGTCTTTTGATTGCAGCATTTTATCCATTAACATTTAAGGTTACTATTGATAGGTACTTATTCATTACCATTTTTGTACCTGTGTTCCTCTCCATCTCCCTCTTTTCCTTCCTTTCCTTAAATCAGTCCTTTTAGCATTACTTGTAGAGCTGGTTTGGTGGAGGCGTATTCTTTTAAACTTCTTTTGTTTTGGAAGCTCTTTATTTGGCCTTGTATCTTTATTGCGAGCCTTGCTGGGTAAAGTAGGCTTGGTTGTAGGCCACTGGTTCTCATTACTTGGGATATTTCTTGACATTCTCTTCTTGCTTGGAGTGTTTCCATTGAGAAGTCAGTAGGTAACCTTGTTTGGGCTCCCTTGTATGTTACTTCTTTTTCCTCCCTTGCTGACTTTCAGATTCTCTCTTTGTGTTGGAATTTTGCCATTTTGATGATGATGTGTCTTCAAGTGGGCCTTCTTGGGTTTGTCTTGATTGGGACTCTTTGTGATTCTTGGATTTGTGTGACATTTTCTCTCATCAATTTAAGGAAATTTTCTTTCATTACTCTTTCAAATATGTTTTCTATCCCTTGTTCTTCTTCTTCTCCTTCTGGTATCCCCATTATTCAGATATTATTACGTTTCATATTATCTTGTATTTTTCTTAATCCCTCTTCATTGTTTCTCAGTTTCTTTTCATTTTCCTGCTCTTTTTGTGAGATGCTTTCTTCTTTGTCCTCCAACTCGCTAATCCTATCCCGTGCCTCATCAGTGCTACTTTTGAAACTTTCTACTGTATTCTTCAATTTGGAAATTGTATTCTTCATTTCGTCTTGCCCCTTGCTGATAGTTTCTATTTCTTTTTTCATGTTGATATAATTTTGGGTGAGATCATTGTAGTTCCCCTGTAGTTTCTGGTAGCTCGTTGTGAGCTCTTTGAACTTTGTGATAACCATTGCTTTTGAATTCAATATCTGATAGTTGATTAACTTCTTTTTTATCTAATATTCTTTCTGAAATTTCTGCTTTTTCTTTCATTTGGGAATTGTTTCTTTGTTTTCCCATTGTTTGTGAGACTCGTATTGTTTGCCTCAGCTTCTAAAATTGATCTGTTCTGACTCCCTGAGTTTATGGTGTGAACCTCTGTGGTATAATACCTGTGAATTTCAGTGGTGCAGACTCTTTCAGGTATCTTGATGTTCTCCGTTTCCACCTACTCCTTTGATTGTGTATGTGTAATCAGTTGGAGGGGGAGGCAAAATGGTTTATGACAACGGAAGAGTTCTTTATGATATTTACAGTCACAGCCTGTAGAGAGGAGATAGGCGATCTTTAGGCTATATATTGTGTTAACCGTATTCTTCAGCCCAACTTGCCACTTTTACGAGAGGATGGACAAAAGATAAGCCTCTTGTTGGGGAGGGAAAGCTTGTTAGTTGGTACTCGAAAGCAGTGAGGTTGCAGACGGTCAGATTTTGAGGTAAGGTGAGTGTAAGGAACAGTAAATAGGTGTAGTGTGTGAGCAAATAGAGTTAATCACTACAGTGGTAGAATTCAGGGACCTGTACAATAGGCTAAGATCCATGAGATGTGTTGTGGAGTATTTACTGTTGTATAGATCAGCTATTATTTACACTAATATTAGAGCAGCCCTCATATAACAAACTCTATGTGGTCTGTCTGAGTAGGGGGTATAAAGCTTTAGGTAGTGTCCTAATGGAAAACAAGTGGAGTGGAGTTTAGAGGATTAGCAAAGCACTATGTAGGAAAGGACGGGGGGAGCCTGTGTAATAATACAATATAACTACTCAAGACTGAGAAGGCTATACAGGAAAATGGAAGAATACAGAGATATTATTAAAATATAAAATAAGTGAAAATAATGAAAAAAATATGCAATACCTCGTGGCTTCTCTGCTATAGGAAGGTGAAATTTGTCTCTCTGTCTCTACTGTTGAGATGCCCCCTCTTTAGGTCCCATTCTAGTTCTTTCACAATTCCTCGTTTTTTGTGTCTCTTGTGGGTAAAAGAAAACGAAGCAACAAACAAACAAAAAGGCAGGAGAAGGGAAGCGAAAGTGATGAGTGTAAGAGGAAAGGAAGAAGGACTAAAACACGGAAAAAGAAAGGAGAGGAACAAAGTATAGAACGATAAAGCAGTAATAAAATTTAAAAAATATATAAGATTACTAAAGAAACACACAAAAAAGTTATTTAAAAAGGCGGGGGGAACCCCAAAAAACAAACAAACAACAAAAAAAACAATAACAACAACAACAGAGAAACCCTTCTCTTGTTCGTTTCAAACTTTCCAGACTGGTTTTTCTAGTTGCAGCAGGATCTCTCTTTGAGCTGGGGTGCCGGCGCAAGTGGGCGCACCGGCCAGGCTACCAGGTTGGGGTGTGGACTCCCACACATTCACCAAGCTGCTTGGGACCCACGGATTCTGGTAGGGTCCTTCCTAGTCCTGTGGAGAGACTCAACCATTTCTCCATCTGTGGACACTGGCCAGGTGAAACTGTCAAGATGCTTCCCAGTCCTGTGTTGGGGACTCAGAGGCTTCTGTGCCTGTGTGCACCCACCAAGCTGTCCAGGACCTGCGAAACCTGAAGGGCCCTTCCCAGTCCCATGGTGGCAGCTCAGAGGCCTCCTCTTTCCCCCTGTCTCGCAAGGCCGGATGGGAAGCAAGCCAAGCTGCCCTGGCAGGAGAACACTCAGTCTACTTTAAAAGAAAACAACTCTCCAGACAGCCTGCCTCTCAGTCTAGCTCAGTCCCCAACTAGACCCATGAGGCCAATGCGTCTCTCAATTCTCCCAGGCTTGCGACCACAGAGTCTGCAGTTGAACTGGGCTCTGTGTCTTTGTAACCCTCCCTGATAATGCAAGCGGGCAAGCAGACAGGGATCTGCCCGGTGTTGTCCAGTTTTGCTTATACAGGGAGCCGGGGAGCTGCTGGCCTGCGCTGGTGGCCACTGGGCTGCTGGATGCTCAGGCTCCTGTGGCAGACACCTCTGGTGTTGGTCTCAGACCGATGGATCTGGACCCTTGCCATAGAGGCAGCACCGGGGCCACCTGGCTGGGGGTGCCGGCCCCCACTGCTGCTTTGTCTTTACTCCGGTCCCTGAGACCCCACTGACCTGCCTCTTTCTGGTGTTTTAGCGTCTGTCACAATCTCTGTTCTTTTAGTTTCACAAATGCTGGATAACCGATGGATTAGTGTGCTACTTCTCTATAGATCTGCCAGGGTTTTCACCCACGAGTACGGGAGATAGAATCTGCTCCATCCTACTCCATTGCCATCTTCTTTTCTCCTGGAAGGTGTTCATTTTTAAAGTTCTTTTTATTTTCCCCTGGTGCCTTGGTAGATTAGGCTGTCTGTAAAGAACTTGTCATGGATCACCTTCCCCAGCTGACAGAACACATGACTGATATGACATTCTTTTCCTCAGTTTCTCTCTCATAGTTCCTCACCATTTTTATTACTGTACTACCTGTTTGAAGTGCAGTGAATGTAGTGGACTGTTTCTTCTACGATGGACTAAAGACTGTTTTACAACTGGGATTGGCAATATTTGACTAATTTAAACAAACTGCTGGCATGTACAAATGATATTGAATATGTAAAAGCTTTAAACAGGTATGATAAGGACCATAACATTTAAATCTGAAGGCCCCTTAGATATTATGTTGTTCAATCCCTTATTTGACAGGTGAGGAAAGTAAGCCTAGAAATTGGCCCAAGGCCACAAAGCTACTTGAATGAAAAAGCTAGGCCTGAAGTTTACTCCTATTTCTAAATAGAGTATAACAAAAGCAAATCACTTTAGTAAAACACTAATTTTGTTGATTTATTATTTCAGAACTTTCATACTCCTATTTTGAGCTATGAAGTATCACTGTGCAAAAGTAATTTGAAGGGGAATGGATAGTTGATAATGATAAATATCTAACTGGGGAAATTGTTCTGGTTTCCAGGTGAGTAGGCTGAGCTTTATTTTCCTAGTTTCTTTTCTATGAATGCTGTTTTCTATTAAAGCATTGGTATGTGTGCGTGTGTGTGTGTGTGTGTACACACACACTAAGTATGTATATGTGAAATGAATATTTAATTGCATACCTTGAAATAATACATCAAATCCCATTATGTACAGAATAAAATATAATGAATACCTCACCCTAACATTTAAAACTCATTATGGTAAGGCCTTGTTGTACCTATTCTTAATTTATTTCTTCTTACATGCCTCTACATACCCTATATTCCATCAGTTGAAATTAACCTCTGACTAACTATGAAAAAAGATCTGTCATTTTTCTCTGCATTTTATTTACTTCTACTAATTCTTGTACTGCTATCACTTTTGGATAGGTTCTTTGACAGTATCGCAAATAAAGATAAGCTATTGCCTTCAAGAGTTCAGCAAGATACAAATGTCAGTGATGAAAAAAGAAGTCATATTAGAGTGGATATTATAGATTTGGTTAGGGAGTCAAATGAGGTAAGATTTTAATATAAATAATTTCATAGCATATTTAAAATAATCTATAGTTATATCTCTAGTTGTATATTAAGAATAAGATAAGACTTCCAGCCAAGATGGAGGCATAGGTGAAAACACTGTACCTCCTCACACAACAAAGTTTATGAACAACAAGTATTTAAAAACCAGAACACAACCAAAACAGAGAGGAAATTAAACCGAAGTCCAAACAGTCTGGGGACCAGTGCTCGGCACTCAGCGCACCTTGGTGGGTGCCCAGCACACCTGGATCGGTGCCCAGTGTACCTGGATTGATGCCCAGCTCACCAGACCAGTTCCCCGTGTATCTCCCTCCCTTGGATTCCACGGGAGGCCTAGGCCTACAGAAGGTATCAGAACAAAGACAGGAGCAGAAGGGTTTTGGGCTGGTGCAGGGGACCAGTGCACAGTGTACATGCAGCGAGCACGCCTTGGTGTGCGCCCAGCATGTCTAGGTTTGCACCCAGCCCTCAGATCAGCTTCCGGTTCATCTCCCTTGGACACTTTGGGAGTCCTGGACCTGCCAAGGGGTCTTTGGGAGAGAGCTGGGACCCTCAACTCCCTCCCTTTCTGACCAAGCAAGGTTGGGTGCTGGGAGAGACTTGTTTGCTAGAGTTGGAAGAGAGGGTGCTGAGGACAAAGGGCCTCAACCTCGGACTATGTCGTCGCCAGCCCTGGAGAACTGATAGGCACAGTGTGGGGCTCTGACTTTGATAGACACAGCCGCCAGGTCTGCTCCTCACCCAGCCTGGCAGCGAACCTGAGATTGGGCAGAAGGCCTGGAGTCCCCCCACAGAACTGGGGCAGGTCTATGCTCGATCCCGTGGAAACCAGGCAGCCTGCCCTGCATAGGCGCCCATGAGCCCCGAAACCCTACCCACGGTAATAACCCCTGAGAAAAGAGTGCTGTGAGGAAGTCCTAGATCCCAATTGTAGGGAGCTGGGGAGAGGGGCTGACACTTAGGCTCCTGAGATAGGGCTTGTAGAAAGGACACCCTAATTGACCCTCAGCCAGCTGCAGCCAGAAAACTCAGTTTGGCCAGTTTGAAACCAACAAGCAACATTTCTTTTTTTTCTTTTTCCTTCCTTTTCTTTTACTTTTTTTCTCTTTTTAAGTAATCTGTTATTTTCTTAAATTTTATTATTGTTTTATCTTTCAATACTTTTGTCCTCTTTTTTGTATTTTCTGTTTTATTCCTTCTTCCTTTCTTTCCAAATGTATCACTATTTCCTCCATTCCCCTGCTTTTTTTCCATTTATTTCTTTCCTTTTCTTTTCTTTCTTTTACCCAAAAGAGACACAAACAACTTGAAAATGTGAAAAGACTAGAGCTGGACCCAAAGAAGAGGCTTCCCAACAGTAGAGTCAGAGAGACAAATTGCACTTTGCTGTACGAGAGAAGCCACAAGTTGCTGCATATATAAGTACGTGGAAGCAGAGAATGACAGGATAACCGAAAGAGACTGCACCACTAAATTTCACAGGCATTCCACCACAGAACTTCAGACCATAAACCCAGAGAGTCAGGAAAGATCAATCTAAGAAGCTGAGGCTAACAAGAAGAGTCTCACAAACAATGGGAAGACAAAGAAACAATCCCCAAATGAAAGAAAAGGAGGAACCCTCAGAAAGAATGTTAGGGGAAATAGAGGCAAGTCAACTATCAGATATTGAATTCAAAGCGCTGGTTATCAGGAAGTTCAAAGAGCTCACAATGAGCTCCAGAAACTACAGGGGAGTTACAACAACCTCACCGCAAACTATATTAATATAAAAGAGGAAATGGAAACTATTAGCAGCGGACAAGAGGAATTGAAGAATATAATTTGCCAATTGAAGAACACTGTAAAAAGTATTAAAAGTAGAGTCGATGAGACAGAAGATGGATGACTGACTTGAAGGACAAAGTAGAAAAAATCTCGCAGAAAAAGGAAAAGAGGCTCAGAAAGAATGAACAGGAATTAAGAGAAATGCAAGACAATATGAAACGTAATAATATTCGAATAGTAGGAATACCAGAAGGAGAAGAAGAACAAGGGATAGAAAATTATTTGAAAGAGTAATGAGAGAAAACTTCCCTAATTTGATGAGACAAAATGTCACACAAATCCAGGAATCACAAAGAGTCTCAATCTAGAGGAACACAAAGAGGTCCACTTCAAGACACATCATCATTAAAATGGCAAAATTCCAAGACAAAGAGAGAATCTTAAAGGCAGCAAGGGAGGAAAAAGAAGTAACGTACAAGGGAGCCCAAACAAGGTTACCTACTGACTTCTCAATGGAAACACTCCAAGCAAGAAGAGAATGGCAAGATATATTCCAAGTAATGAGAACCAGAGGCCTACAACCAAGGCTACTTTACACAGCAAGTCTCTTAATCAAGATAGAAGGCCAAATAAAGAGCTTCCAAAACAAAAGAAGTTTAAAAGAATAAACCTCCACAAAATCAGCCCTACAAGAAATACTAAAAGGACTGCTTTAAGGAAAGGAAGGAAAAGAGAGAGACAGAGAGGAACAAACGTACAAAAATGGCAATGAATAAGTAACTATCAAAAATAACCTTAAATGTAAATGGATAAAATACTCCAATCAAAAGACACAGAATAGATGAATGGATAAGAAACCATGACCGACACATATGCTGCTAACAGGGGACCCACCTCAGGAGAAAAGACCTGCACAGACTAAAAGTGAAAGGTTGGAAACAAATTTACCAAGCAAACATACAAGAAAAAAAAAGCTCGGGTAGCATTCTCATATCAGACAAAAATGACTTCAAAAAGGAGCCATAAAGAGAGACCCAGAAGGTCACTTCATAATACTCAAGGGAAGAATCCACCAAGAAGACATTAATATTGTAAATATATATGCAACTAACACAGGAGCACCCAAAAATATAAAGAATATCTGGAGGATTTCAAGAAAGATATTGACAGCAACACAATTATAGTAGGGGATTTTAACACCCCACTATCAAAAATAGATCTTCTAAACAAATTATCAACAAAGATATTGTGGCATTAAACAACACCCTTGATGAGATGGACTTAAGTGATATATACAGAGCCCTTCATCCCACAGAAGCTAAATATACACTCTTTTCAAATGCACATGGAACATTCTCAAAGATAGACCACATGATAGGACACAAAACAAGCCTCAACAAATTCAAGAAAATTGAAATCATACCAAGCATTTACTCTGACCATAAGGGACTGAAATTGGAAACGAACCCCAAAGGAAAAAACCCAAAACACCCAAAATGATGGAGAATGCATGGTATGCTATTAAACAACAAATGTGTGAAAAATGAAATTAGGGAAGAAATTAAAACGATTCTGGAAACAAATGAAAATGATCTCACAACAACCCAAAACTTATGGGACACAGGGAAGGCAGTCCTGAGAGGGAAGTTTATAGCAATACAGGCCTACCTAAAGAAGATAGAAACATTTCAAACAAACAGCCTTACCCTATGCCTGCAAGAACTAAAGGAACAAAAACAAAAAAGGCCAGAGCAAGTAGAAGGAAGGAAAATAACCAAGATCAGAGCAGAACTAAATGACATAGAGACTAAAAGCACAATTCTAAGGATCAATGAATCCAGCAGTGGGTTCTTTGAAAAGATAAACAAAATAGACAAACCTTTAAGTAGGCTCATCAAGAAAAGAAGAGAGAGAACTCAAATAAACACAATCAGAAATGAAAGAGGAGAGATTACAACTGATACCACAGAAACAGAAGGGATTGTAAGAAATTACTATGAAGAAATGTATGCCAAGAAATTTGAAAACCTAGGGGAAAGGAACACATTTCTAGAAAAATATTATCTTCCAAAACTTAATGAAATAGAAACAGAAAATCTGAACACACCAATAACAGCAAAAGAAATTGAAGCAATAATAAAAAAAACTCCCATCACACAAAAGTCCTGGACCTGATGGTTTCACAGGAAAATTCTACAAAGCATTTAAGGAAGAACTAACCCCTATTCTTCACAGACTATTCCAAAAAATCCAGAAGGATGGAAAACTCCCAAATTCTTTTTATGAAGCCAGCATCATCCTAATTCCAAAAGTAGATAGAGACACAACAAAGAAAGAGAACTTCAGGCAAATATTGCTGAAGAACATAGACGCTAAAATCCTCAACAAAATATTGGCAAATCGCATCCAACAGTATATCAAAAAGATCATACACCATGACCAAGTGGGATTCATCCCTGAGATGCAAGGATGGTTCAATATTTGCAAATCAGTAAATGTAATACATCACAGAAACAAAAGGAAGGACAAAAACCACATGATCATATCAATAGATGGAGAAAAAGCTTTTGATAAGGTACAACACCCATTTACGATTAAAAACACTCAGCAAGGTGAAATAGAGGGAGCATTCCTCAATATAATAAAGGCCACATACGAGAAACCTACAGCCAACATCATACTCAATAGGCAAAAACTAAAATCTTTTTCATTAAGATCGGGGACAAGACAAAAATATCCACTTTCACCACTTCTATTCAATATAGTCCTGGAAGTTTTATCCACAGTGATCAGACAAGAAAAGGAAATAAAAAGCAATCCAAATAGGAAAAGAGGAAGCAAAATTGTCATTGTTTGCAGATGACATGATAGTGTACATGGAAAATCCTATAGACTCTACTCAAAAACTGCTCGAACTAATAAATGAGTTTGGTAAAACAGTGGGTTACAAAGTCAATATTCAGAAATAAAAGGCATTTTTATATACTAACAATAAATCAGCAGAAGGAGAAATCAAGAAAAAAATTTCATTCGATATAGCAAAATCAAAAATAAAATATCTTAGAATAAACCTAACCTAAGATGTAAAAGATGTGTATGCAGAAAACTACACAACACTGAAGAAGGAAATCAAGGAAGACACAAACAAATGAAAACATACACCTTGTTCATGGATTGGAAGAATTAACATCATCAAAATGTCCATACTACCCAAAGCAATATACAGATTCAATGCAATACCTATTAAAGTACCAATCGCATATTTCACAGACATAGAACAAACACTTTAAAAATTTATATGGAACCATAAATGACCCCGAATAGCAGCTGCAATTTTTAGAAAGAAGAACCAAGTAGGAGGGATCACAATACCTGAAATCAAATTGTATTACAAGGCCACTGTAATTAAAACAGTCTGGTACTTGCTTTAAAAACAGGCACATAGACCAATGGAACAGAACAGAGAGCCCAGATATCAACCCAACTCTCTACAGTCAATTAATATTCGATAAAGGGGGCAGTAACATAAAATGGAGTAAAGATAGCCTCTTCAACAAATGGTGTTAGGAGAACTGGACAGCTACATGCAAAAAAAATGAAACTTGAGCACTGAGTTACACCATACACCAAAATAAATTCAAGGTGGATAAAAGACTTAAATATAAGCCATGAAACCATTAAAGTTCTAGAGGAGAACATAGGCAGGAAAATGTCAGATATTTCACACAGCAACTTTTTTAGTGATATGTCCCCTAGAGCAAGGGACATGAAGGAAAAAATAAAGAAATGTGATCTCATCAAAATAGAAAGCTTCTTCATGGCTAAAGAAAACAGTATTAAAATAAAAAGTCAAGCAACTGTATGGGAAAACAAAATTGCCAGTGATGCCTCAGACGAAGGTTTAATCTCCAAAATATACAAAGAACTTACAGGACTCCACTCTAAGAAGACATCTAACCCAATTAAAAAATGGGAAAAGGACTTGAACAGACAATTCTTCATGGAGGACATACAGAGGATCTACAGACACATGAAAATAGTCTCAATATCACTAGCTATCAGAGAGATGCAAATTAAAACCACAATGAAATAACACTTTACACCTGTCAGAATGGCTATCATAAACAAAGCAACAAACAACAAATGTTGCAGAGGTTGTGGGGAAAAGGGGTCCCTATTTCACTATTGGTGGGATTGCAGACTGGTACAACCATTATGGAAAACAGTATGGAATTTTCTAAGAAACTATAAATGAATATGTCTTTTGACCCTGCAATTGCACTGCTGGAATTATATCCTAAGAACCCTAAAGTACCAATTGAGAAATACCTATGCACCCTAATGTTCATAGCAGCACAATTCACAATAGCCAAAAGCTGGAAGAAACCTAGGTGCCCATCAGTAAAAGAATGGATCAAAAAATTATGGTACATATACACGATGGAATTCTATTCAGTAGAAAGAAATTGGGAGCTCCTGCCCTTTTCAACAGTTTTATGAAACTGGGAAGCATTATGCTGAGCGAAATAAGCTAGGCGGTGAAATACAAATACCAGATGATCTCACCTTTTACAGGAATCTAAACAACAAAACAAACAAGCAAGCAAAATAAAAACAATAACACTGAAATAGAGAATAGGGGGTCAGCAATCAGAGGGGAGAGAGGAGGGAATTTCAGAGGGAAAAGGGGAAGGATTTACAGGAACTAATACAAAGGACACATGGATAACAACTAAGGGGGGTGAAAATGGGAGGGAGGTGGGGGGCATGGGAGTAAAAGACAGCATACTGTAGTTGAAAAATAACTAAATTAAAAAAAATCTTTAAAAAAATCAGAAAAAAACTACCGTAGTCCAAAAGCAACAAACCATTCATCCTGATTGGTAAAAGGGGCAGAGTCAGCAGCTGGCAGAAAGGGGTTGCGCAGGAAAAAACAGCAGGATCAACCTAGGTGTGCAGGCAGCGGTTGGAAGATCCCAGGCATGGGGTGGCAACAGGCAGACCCAGTGAGGGCACAAGGCAGCTGGCTGACCATTGTCACACATTCATGTGCAGATAAACCAGGCAAAGGAGTGAGCGGTGAGAGAGACCACAAAAACCAGGGCCTCAGCACTGGGAAATAAAGCCTAAAGGCACCAATTAGAAAAAATTTGGGGGGTCAAGATGCTGGGAGAGGCTCTCAGGCTCACAGAGAGTTTGTGGGAGAGACCCACGGGGTTCTGGAGGGTGCACGAGCCCACACATCTGGGAACCAGCACCGGAGGACCCAATTTGCTTGTGTGAAGAAGCCGAGGGGAATCAAATCTGAGAGAGAGAACAGAAAAAAACACCATTGCCCCTCTCTGGCCCCGCCCCCACATACAGCATCACAACCCAGGAACATAAATTGCCCTGCCCTGGTGAACACCTAAGGCTCTGCATCTCATATGTAACAGGTGTGAATAGACCAAAATATTATGGCTCAAGAAGAAGCCCCAGAGCCAATACTTCTAAGCAACTAAGAGATAGCCAACCTATCAGATGCACAGTTCAAAACACTGGTGATCAGGAGGCTCACAGAACTGGTTGATTTTAGTCACAAATTATAGGAACAAATGAAGGCTTCACTAAGTGAAATGAAGCAAAATGCACAGGAAACCAATAGTGATGGAAGGGAACTGGGACTCAAATCAATTGAGTGGACCAGAAGGAAGAAAAAAATGACCAAACAGAAAACAGTGAAGAAACAAGAATTCAAAAAAATAAGGAGAGGCTTAGGAACTTCTAACACATCTTTAAACATTCCAACATCAGAATTATAGGGGGTATCAGAAGGGAAAGAGGAAGAGCAATGAGTGAAAAAAGTTATTTGAACAAATGATAAAGGAGAACTTCCCCAATCTGGCAAAGGAAATAGACTTTCACAACGTCCAGGAAGCTCAGAGAGTTCCAAAGAAGGTAGACCCAAAGAGGAACACACCAAGGCACATCGTAATTACATTAGCCAAGATTAAAATGAAGGAGAGAATTCTAGAGCCTGGAAGAGCTAAAAGACAGTCACTTACAAAGGAGTTCCCATCAGACTGTCAGCTGATTTCTCAAAAGAGACCTTACAGGCAAGAAGGGGCTGGAAAGAGGTATTCCAAGTCATGAAATCCAATGACCTACATCCAAGATTGCTCTATCCAGCAAAACTTTCATTTAGAATGGAAGGGCAGATAAAGTGCTTCTCAGATCAGGTCAAGTTCAAGGAGTTCATCATCACCAAGCCCTTATTATATGAAATGTTAAAGGGACTTACCTAAGAAAAAGAAGATAAAAAACATGAACAGTGAAAGGACAGCAAACTCAGTTATTCACAACCACACTTAAAACAAAAGCAAACTAAGAGGACAGCTAGAAATGAAGATCACATGGAGGGTTAGCAACAGGGGAGTGGGAGGAGGAGAATTGGGGAGAAGGTACAGAGAATAAGTAGCATAGACGGTAGGCAGAAAATAGACCAGGGGAGGGCAAGAATAGTATGGGAAATATAGAATCCAAAGGACTTGTGACACATAGAAATGAACTAAAGGGGGGGAATGATGGGGGAGGGAGTGTGCAGGGTGGAGGGAAATGAAGGGGGGGAAACAGAACAACTGTAATGGCATAATCAATAAAACATATTTTTTTAAAAGAATAAGATAATAATAGAAGATATAATTTTAAAATATGACTGCACTTTAAAAATTACTTCTGTGAACTATTCCTAGATTATGTAGTTCTTCCATTTGCTTATCATTAAACTGTATTCACTTGTTTTCACAAATAATGACCACTTTTAAATATCTATCACTACATAAAATGGAAAAAATTATTCTTTTTTTTAGAAACTAAGAATTTTACCAATGTTCTTGTATTTATTTTAGGCACGTAGTAAATAGAATTCTCTCCAGTGAATATGCAGAGAAAATGAAATATGGGAGGTGAGAATTTGTATAACTGAACAAGTTTAGAAAATAGCTAGACATAGAATGAAGGCCTCTGAGAATTGAGTCTGGTGTAATTGAATTGTAAGAGAAGTGAGTGTTTATTATTAATGAGTATTCGCTGAAATAATTTTTTGTAGAAATATGGTAATATTCATTGTGAACATATATACAGCATGCACTATTGAAATAGGTTGTATGTGATATAGACCTGGGAGGAAACAATAAACCAGAATGTGATGAGTAACGACCGAATGGTAGGAAATCAACTGGAGTGACAAATTTTTCAACTTTAAAAAACATCATTGTATGTGAAGAAAAGGAGAACAACTAAACATTTGAACCAGAGATTCTTGGCACAGCTTACTATATATTTTTTGGGAAAAAATAAGTTATTTTCTTTTGACGGTGGAATTGATTTTTTAATAACAGTTTACATTCAATACTTTGTATTATCTTCAGGTGAACAGTATAGTGGTTAGACGATAATATACTTTAGAACATGTTCCCCCCCAATATTTTCAGTACCCACTTGGTGCTGTACATAGTTATTACAATACTATTGACTGTATTTCCTATGCTGTACTTTGCATCCCCATGGCTATTTTGTAACTACAAATCTGTACTTCTCAATCTCTTCACGTTTTTCACCCAGTCCATTATATTGGTTTCTCCAACAAGTTTTATAGTATTTGACCTTCAATACTGAATACTATGATGTAGTCATTTAAGCATAATGCATTCGTGATATGCTTTACCAATAAGAACAGCTGACCTACATAGTAGTCAATGATTCTAATATGTATTATTATCCTGGATTCCTAAGATAAAGTGGAGAATGTCTAACAGTGTTTTTTAATACTCTCATTTTTTAATATTTGAATGGCTACATAAGATGCTGTTAATATTGGTTGCCCCTGGTGATCAGGATTAATAGACTACTAATCAGAAGAAGGAGAGGTTTACTTTGCTGTATTTATCCTTCTGTACTGTTTGAGCTTTTGTCATGAGCATGTATTGTTTATTTGTAAATATACTTGCTTAAAGGCCAACTCCTCAGAGGTACAAATCTGAGATTAACATTTCTTAAGATTCCAGGTTTATATTTCAATTAAATTAGTGATGTTATTGGGACATAATTAACATAGAATTATTTTAGTTTTCATATATTAACTCTTAAAAATACTAAAGTAATACATGCATTTGTAAGTTACTCAGATATTCCAGAAATGTAAAAAATAAAGGTTTCTACCCCAGGAGTAACAAATATTAAAATGATATGTCCTTCCATATAATTTTTCTGTATATCTATAGACATAAATGTGTATGCAGGGATAAGGGCAGGCAATATAGGTGTTTTTTTTAATGAGAGCATAATAGTCACTTTGTTCTGCAACTTTTCATTCAAAAATATACCATGGTCATTGTATATTAGTACATACAGATCTACCTTACTTTCCTTAATGTACTGAATAGTATATTATATAGTATGGATATGCTATATTTTATTCCTTGTAGATATACATTTAGAATTTTTTTCTCTTATAAGTAATACCTTATTTAAACATCCTTGTGTATCTATTTTTATACATTTGTGCGAGTATATCTGTAAGGTGGATTCCTGGAAGTAGAAACTAGGTCAAAGGGTTTGCCCATTTGAAAACTGACAGGTCCTGCCAAATTATCCTCCAAATGATTTGTACCAAATTACAGTTCCACAAACAGTATGTAAGAGTTCCTGTTTCTCCCACACTCCCACTAACATCAAATGTGACAAATCTAATTTGTGCCAATTTGATAGATAAAAAAATAAAATTGTCTTTTTAATTTCACTGGTCACATGTTTATTAGGTTTTTAAAAAATTCTTCTCTTTCACAGGAATTTTAGGAGCATAAACTAAACTGTTTTTCTTGAGTTTCTTGGGAGTTCTGGCCAAGATGGAGGCATAGGTAGAAACTGTTTGCTTCCTCACACAACCAAAAGGAGGATAATGACCAATCTAAAATCAATAAATAACCAGAAGCTCCAGAAAGTCAAACTGCATGGAACTCCGACAACCAAGGAATTAAAGAAAAAATCAACAAGAACAACCAGACCAGGCAGCAGACCCCACAGGCTGGGCTGGCTCAGAAAAACTGAGGCGAGACCACGGACTTCATGGGTGGGGCTGGCTGAAGATGGAAACTGAGCCTCAAAGATGATTGTGGATTACAGCAGGTGTTGTTGTGGTGGGAGAAACTCCCAGTCTCACAGAGAGTCCATTGGAAATTGCACTAGAGCAGGGGAGCTACGTCGTTCTCTCTCTGGCCCCTCCCCCACGGGCAGCAAAGAGGGTTGTCCTGCCTGGGTGAATACCTAAGACCCCACCCACTTACAACTTATCAGGTGCAGGGAGACAAAGAAATACAGCCCAAATGGAAGAACAGATAACTTCAAAGAATTCTCCTCTGCAATTGGTAGGGTGATGTTGAATAATTTTTTTTTTCAAACAAAAAATAAAGGTACCCCTAAAAATACTTGTACTGCCTATTATTGCAAATTTAGTCAGATTTTTTTATCAGCCTGAGTTACATTGTCTCCAGCTTTAGCAAAAACTGGGCCCTTTCTGTGTTTGTTACTAAATCTAAGTATATTGGTCTCATTTTGCCTCAACCCTTCCAAAAAAGGCAAGCTTTTATATATAGATATTTTAACAGTTAGCATGCAGGAAGGAAATGTTCTGATTTTTCCACACTCAGGCAAGTGGATACTTCAAGAGGACCTTCTCACTCAGTAAAAATCCGACCACATAGTGGTACACAGTGGCAGAGAAATAACCAACAAACATGTTGTACCTGGAAATAGGCCACCAGTTTTATCATTCCTTTATTTTCCAGCACCCAAGCATTCTTTCTCATCAGGGATACTTCCTTGAAGAGGAGTTCTCTCCTCAAGTGAGGCACATGGCCACATGCAAAAGAAAGAAGAAATCTGAGGTTGGGGAAAGGAAGATCATCAGGAAGAACATTTTATCACTTTATAAAGGGGATTATGCTTCCACACTAGACAGAGAGAATCTGGATGAGTGTGTGGTTTTTAACTGCTAGCTTAAGTAAAGGAAGGTTTCTGAATTCTAATCCCTGGTGAACATCTGTACCTTAATTAATCTGTATTGCTGGAATTGATTGAATGTCCTTTGGATATGTGACTATTTGCAATTCAATTTTATTGAACAGACATAATGTACAATGGAGGTTTTACTGAGAAGCTTAAACTACTTTTTAAGATGCATATTCCTCCAGGTAAGAGTTTAATAGTCTTTAATGATGTATAGGAGTTGATTCCATTTAACAAATATAATTATAGATATAATCCCATTTTAACTAATAACATAATGTTCAATATATGAGGTCATTCCTTTATTGTGGTCTGTGGATCATACTGCTAGTACTTTTGCTGATACATAGATATAGTGAAACCTATAGAAGAGAATCTGTGTAACAAATGGGTTTACAAGTTCCCCTTCTATTAGTGGTCTGTCAATTTAAAGATAGTTTATATATAAGAATTACCTATCATTTGAATATTGGTATAATGTTGAATTTTTGTTGTTGCTGTCATTTAGAGAGTAAAATGTAACTTTAGACAAACTGCCAAAACTGTGATATGCTACAAATTATTCAGAAAAATGAGACCAAGCCACGGACAGTGAACATTTGGAAAAGGAAACAAAAGCTACCATTTATTGAGTGAAAACTTTCTGTCAAGGCATTTATTTTACCTGCATTCTTATATGTAATTCATACAATATCCCTGAAAGGTGGTAGTATACAATACTTCGAACTTTGACAATAAGGAAACTAAGGGTCAGAAAGATGAAATTATTTGCCTAAGATCATGCACCTAATACATTGCATAGCTGGGATTCAAGTGGAGGTCTGACTCCCAAGCTCAAGTTTTTTTCTATTCTACCATACTGCCTCAGTTACCACACCATTCCACTGTACTTAGTTGTTTCCCACTAACTTTTAAGAGACTTCATTTTCCAAGCCTGATGTGTATTTTGGGAAAACAGTTTTAGGCTTTAAACTAAAGGAACATTTTAGCAAATGTTACCTTTAGCAAAAGTACCTTTTAGGTTAGATAAGGTAATTCACAAAAAAATCCAGCATTGTCTTAAAGTACACTTGGAATCTCTTTTAGAATCTTCCCAGGATAACCAGGAACCATTCTTTTATCAGACCAAAAATCTGAAAGTCATCTTCAACTCTTCACACACTCAGATCACAAACACAGCATTAAAAACAAAAGACAAACCACATAGTAATTTAATTATGAAGAACTTTACATTGTCAAGTCAAATTTCCATCAAAATGTTTAATATCATCATGTAATGAATATGTTTCAGTGGAATGGTCAAAAATAGAAAGAACACTACACATCTGTTAGAGCACTCAACTTCATGTTTTCCTTATTATTGAAGATATTTTTAAATGACTAGGGTCACATTTTTAGAGATTTCCAAATGCCACATTTTCTTTCAGTTGTAATGGCTGTCGGAAAACTATTAAAAAGCAAGTGAAATAATAGAAGTAAAAGTGATCAAGTATTTTTTGTTATTTGCTATACAATGAAAGAATACCACTTCTACATTTCTTCCTGTCTTTCTTTTACAGAAACCCTTTACTTAACTCTCTGTCCCCAGATTTACTTGAGCTGTTAAAGGACCTGTTTCTTTTCCCTCGTTGTTAGTAAATTTGATTTCACTAATCTGTTTTCAGCTTATGTTGAAGTGAAATTCAAGGACCCTTCAAAGGAAGATGAACTTTCTAAGGAAGAACTTATTTCAGTCAGTTCCATGGTAAATATCCGTTCAAAAATATTCACTTAATAGAGATCTTCCTGACTTAAATATTTTTTATCCAGCTAATGTTACCGAACAACAAGAGGTCCGAGGGAGGGGCAATACAATATTTGGCCCTCCTAGGGATGCCCAAAACTGCTATACAACAGGGGCCCCTCCCAAAAACAGAATACTAAAATCTACTGGGCCCTTCTGTCTGCTGCCAATTGGAAAGACATCTCTTAATGCCAGAGATTTGTGAAAAGGAAACAAAATGTTTATTTAATGCTATTCAGGCCTAATGCCACCACTAAAATATCAAAGTCCTTTAGGGTATACACCTACACCCACACAGCGCTCCCTTCTCCCTCTGTCCCAACTCCGGGTACCGTAAATCAGGAAAAGAGCACACGTCCCTTTTTTGGCCGCTGGTGCCATCAGCTGTGTCACTGTGCAGGATCTCGAGTTAATCCAAAGTACTGTGGTACCCTCTCATGGTCCACTGGCAAGAGTTCTTTGTACCCAGTTCCAGTCAAAGTCTCTCTTGCTTTTCAGGCTTCTCGGCCAAAGGGGGCACCCCAAAGCCGCGTGGGCCTCTTCTACCAAAGCTGCAGGGGTCCGCACTCCACCAAAAGCATGTGGCTTTCTTCTTCACCTGGCTGCAGGGATCTCCATTCTGGCAAAGCTGCGTGGTTTTTCCCTTTCACCTGGGAAAGAGAGGGTCTGCACCCTGCCAAAACCACGTGGCTCCCTCTTTCACCTCACCAAGAGGGGGTCCTCACTCTGCTGAAACCGCGTGGCTCTCTCTTCATCTGGCCAAGCGGGGACCCTTCATGTCCTAGAGCCAGTCTTTTCCAAGCTCCCACACAGGCACTCTCACTCAGGGGCACAGCCCCTAGTTCCATCCTGAGTTCCAAGCCCTTCTCACTCAGGAGCGCAGCCCCTAGTTACATTCTCCTGAGTCCCAGTCCACTACCTTCTCCCTCACTCAGGAGCGCTGACCCTAGTTACATTCTCCTGAGTCCCCTGATACTCCCTTCTCCTTCAGGAGTGCAGCTCCTAGTTCTATCCTGAGTCCCTAAGGCCTTCTCACTCAGGAGTCCAGACTTTAGTTACATCCTCCTGAGTCCCCACTAGTTCCATCTTGAGTTCCCCTGCTACTCCCTTCTCCCTCAGGTGTGCAGCTCCTTAGTTACATCCTGAGTCCAAGCCCTTCTCCCTCAGGAGTGCAGCCCCTAGTTCCCATCTTGAGTCCCCCTAGTTCCTTCTCCCTGGCTCCAAACTTGGCCACTGCTATTTAACATATCTATGAAACCAGTTAAAGGTTATAGATATGTTATATAATCATTCCAGAGGCTAGCTCCAAAACTGTTGCTATGCAAAACAGCTCTCAATGGCCTTGCTCCATTCGTTTCTTCCCCCCCTGGGGGGGAAGTGTGAGGACATCTTATATGTCTCTCCAATATTCCTATACACTTTGAATTCTGGACACCATTCCAAATCTTTTTTTTTTTTGGGGGGGGGCCCTGGCTGCACCCTGTATCACTACCACTAGTAAAATTGGGATTAATTATGATTTACTAAACTGCGTTTGGGGTTTTGATGTATGGAATTTCTTGTTTCCTGGAGAACTAGAAAGAAAATGCAGTTTCTTCCTACTTATGTAGCAGAAGTTTCTAAAATGTATCAGATCATTTTCATCCCTTGTTAAAAATACAATGAAGACAATAGGGCTAATCCAGGAAGGAAGGAAGATGGCAACGGAGTAGGAGGGAGCAGATTCCATTTCCCCCTTACACTTGGGAGAAAATCCTGGCCGATTTATGGAGAAATAGAGCAAACAGCCAACAGTTCCCCAGCATATATGAAAATAAGAGACCAGAAATTGTAGTGGACACTAAAAAAACAGATGGTAAGGAGACGGCTGCAGGACAGTAGGGTCTCAGGGACCAGAGCTGAGATAGCAGCAGCTTCAGTCTCTGCCTGTGACCAGCGAGCTCAGCACCCAGCGGGTCTACCTCAGAATCTTCGGGAATCCCAGGCTTGCTGAAGGGTCCTTGGGAGAGAACCGGATCATCAGCTCCCTCCCTCCCTGGCCAAGCAAGGTTGGGCAACACCACAGAGAGAGACCTGTTTGCTTGAGATTGCAGAGAGGGTGATAAGGACAAAGGGCTGTGATCAACCTCGAAGTCTGTGATCACGAGCTTGGGAGAATTGAGAGGCGCAATGTCGGGCTCTGACTCTGATAGTCACCAGTTTGGCTGGGGAATTGGGCTATGCTGAGTGGCAGGCTTTCTTAAAGAGAAATTTTTTGGAAAGTAAACTGAAGGATTCTCCTGGCACAGCCCCTTGGCCTGCTTCACACCCAGCCTGGCAATGATCCCAAGGTTGGGCAGAAGGCCTTGCATTCCCCCACAGAACTGGAAAGGGTCCATGCCCAAACCCATGGGACCCAGGCAGCCTGCCCAGCATGTGTCAGCCCACACCCCAGCCCATGGCAATGACCCCACAAGGAAAGAGTGCTCTGAAGAAGACCTAGATCACCTTCTAGGGGCACTGGGGAAAGGTGCCAGGTTAGCTATTGGGAGAGTGTTCCTAGAAAGACCACACCAATTGCCCCTAAGCCTGCTGCACCCAGTGAGACCAGAAAAACTGTTTTGGTGAGTTTGAATCCAGCTAGACATGTTTTTTTTCTGTTTTTTTTAAGTAATTGTTTATCTTTTTAATTTAATTTAATTAATTTATTTATTTATTTATTTATTTTTCCTTTTTTTAAAAATTTTATTTAGTTATTTTTCAAGTACAGTTTTTTGTTTATTTCTCCCATCCCAGAGACCCCACCCCATGCTCCCCACCTCCCTCCCATTTCCAGCACCCTTAGTTCTCGTCCCTGTGTCCTTCATACTTGTTCCTCCAAATCCCTCCCCACTTTTTCCCCTTAAATTCCCTTCTCTCTCCCCTCTGGTCACTGTTCCCTTGTTCTCCATTTCAGTGTCTTTGTTTTTATTCTGCTTGCTTGATTGTTTTGTTGTTTAGCTTCCTGTTAAAGGTGAGATCGTATGGTATTTGTCTTTCAATGCCTGGCCTGTTTCACTCAACATAATGCTTTCCACTTCCATCCATGTTGTTGCAAAGTGTAGGAGCTCCTTCTTTCTCTCTGCTGCATAGAATTCCATTGTGTATATGTACCAAAATTTTTTGATCCATTTATTTACTGACGAGCACCTTGGTTCCTTACAGCACTTGGCTATTGTAAATTGTGCTGCTATGAACATTGTGGTGCATAGGTTCTTTGAAATTGATGGTTTGGGGTTCTTAGGATATAATCCTAGCATTGGGATGGATGCCTGGGTCAAAAGGCAGGTCGACTTTTATTTTTCTGAGAAAATTCCATACTGTTTTCCATAATGGTTGTGCCAGTCTGTAATTCCACCAACAATGAACTAAGGACCCCCTTTCCCCACAACCTCTCCAATGTTTGTTGTTAGTTGCTTTATTTATGATAACCATCCTGACTGATGTAAAGTGGTATCTCATTGTGATTTTAATTTGCATCTCTCTGAAAGCTAGCGATATTTAGCATCTCTTCATGTGTCTCTGGATATTCCATATGTTCTCCTTGGAGAAGTGTCTGTTCAAGTCCTTTACCCATGTTTTAATTGGGTTAGATGTCTTCTTAGAGTGGAGTCATGTAAGTTCTTTGTATATTTTGGGGATTAAAACTTTATCTGAGGTATCATTGGCAAATATGTTTTCCCATATACTTGGTTGTCTTTTTAATTTAATACGGTTTTCTTTAACCACACAGAAGTTTTTTTAAGGTTTTTTTTTAAATTTATTTTTTATTGATTATGCAATTACAATTGTTCTATTCCCCCCTTCATTTTCCTCCACCCTACCCCCATCCCCACCATTACCCCCCCTTTAGTTCATGACCATGTGTCTCAAGTCCTTTAGATTCTATATTTCCGATGCTATTGTTGCCCCCCATCTATTTTCTATCTACTGTCTATGCTACTTATTTTCTGTACCTTCTCCCCCCTTCTCCTCCTCCCACTCTCCTGTTGCTAACCCTCCTTGAGATCTTCACTTCTATGTTTCCACTCCTGAACTAGCTGTCCTCTTAGTTTGCTTTTGTTTTAGGTGTGGTTGTTAATAACTGTGTGTTTGCTGTCCTTTCACTGTTCAAGTTTCTTTACCTTCTTTTTCTTAGATAAGTCCCTTTAACGTTTCATATAATAAGGGTTTGGTGATGATGAACTCCTTGAATTTGATCTTATCTGAGAAGCACTTTATCTGTCCTTCCATTCTAAATGAAAGTTTTGCTGGATAGAGCAATCTTGGTTGTAGGTCTTTGGATTTCATGACTTGGAATACCTCTTTCCAGCCCCTTCTTGCCTGTAAAGTCTCTTTTGAGAAATCCGCTGACAGTCTGATGGGGACTCCTTTGTAGGTGACTGTCCCCTTAGCTCTTGCTGCTTCTAGGATTCTCTCTTTCATTTTAATCTTGGCTAATGTAATTATGATGTGCTTTGTTGTGTTCCTTCTTGGGTCCAACTTCTTTGGTACTCTCTGAGCTTCATGGATTTCCTGGAAGTCTATTGCCTTTGCCAGATTGGGGAAATTCTCCTTTATTATTCGTTCAAATAAGTTTTCCACTGGTGGCTGTGCCTTTCCCCCTTCTGGTCCCCCTATAATTCGGATGTTGGAGTGTTGAAAGATGTCCTGGAGGTTGCTAAGACTCTCCTCATTTTTTTGAATTCTTGCTTCTTCACCCTTTTCTGTTTGGCCATTATTTGCTTTTTTCTGGTCCACTCCATTGATTTGAGTCCCAGTTTCCTTTTCATTGCTATTGGTTTCCTGTGCAATTCCATTCATTTCAATTAGTTTCGCCTTCATATATTTGTCTAATTTGTGGCTATAATCAACCAGTTCTGGGAGCATCCTGATGACCAGTGTTTTAAACTGTGCATCTGAGAGTTTTGCTATTTCTTCATCACTTAGATTTATAGGCTCTGCGGCTTTGAGATGTTCTTGAGCCATTTTTA